AGTCAAGTATGCTAGCTCGCATGGAACAAAATCAGCACGAAATGTCGTCAATGCAGGCTCATCGGTGAGCACTGCCCATTTTATAAATATGGACAACACGTTATGAAATGTATGTACGCCACACGCACAATGCCAATAAATCAGTCATTACTATGTTGATGTAAATGAACATCTCCATTTCATTTTGCATTTCTTTCTGAAGCCAGAAACGGGGATGCTTCGTGTCAAAATGAAGCAATGTAAAGTCCATGCTCGTTACCTGACCCAGTAATGTAACAAATACACCAAAAAAAGTTCCATAGATATCTCGAGACTTACCTGAACCTGTGGCGGGATAGCAGATTCAAGAAAAGTCAGCAACAGGCAGGTTAGCTTTTGTTTTAACACAGAATTGTGGACTTTGCCATGACACATTTCCTAAAGAAGGAGAGATAAGTCGGTTTACTCACTCTATACTTGAAAAAGCCTGATTCTTTCTTTAGAAGTAACTGCAAGCTCTGTGTCGAGAATTAACGCAATGTGGGTATAGGAACAATAGCAACAATGGGTTACTCAGTTGCATTGTCGGCCTAGATCTTTTGCGTCGACGCACTCAAACCACTCGAGTTTATCAACCCCGGATAATGCTTGGCAACCTGTGAACGCTGCTCACTTCTTACACAGCACACCCAGATCAGTTTTCTTTCCTGAAGGGGCTGTTTTTGTGGAGATAGCTGAGGATATATGACTGGAAGATGGGATTTATAATGTGTTAGCAAACGCTTTCACCGTCATACGCGATCACGTACCTAACGCTGAAGACAGAATAATCCTACCAATCTCTTGCAGTTTTAAAGAATGCAAAGACTACCAACACTTACTGAACTGGATATGTTAGGGGAAAATTAAAAGTAAAACGGGCATGAGGTAACTAAATAGAATTTTACAGCTCGGGTGGATTGCCGATTAGGCGAAAGATGGGACTTGGGAGCGCATACACGAAAAGGTTGTGTAAACCTCCTGGTGCCCTGGGAAATCTCAGTATTTAGACACCATCAGTATCATATTACCACTGGTTGGTGTCTGTATAAGCGATTTTCTCAGCAACGAAAATGTTCGCAGGTGTTCACAGAACAGCTAAGGCAGCTCTCGGATCGGGGCCTATAGAATGCAAGTAGTCAACCAACGAATCAAGAAGTAGAACTCAGCCGCCTAGCTCGTTGGAAGCATCACAGCAACACTGGTTGGCTAGTCTACATGGTTCCTGGAAATATCATTGTATACTCAAGATATGGTATAAAGTGAAAGCATGTTGTCCAAAGATACCACCCAGCTAACAAAAGGCTAGTGGCTAATAGTAAAGAAATAAATTTTAGATGTAAGAAAAACCGTTGGACTAAACTCCTCATTGGAACAAAGCAAATAAATGGTCCAACGCCGTATGTTTTACTTCTTTCAAAAATAACCTAATATCACCTGTTTGTATGGCAGGCACTAAGTCGGAAGCTAGGGGGATGTACCCCCAAAATAGACAAGCTGGAAACATCACCTTCCCAATGAACTCCGCCATCAATGCCCACACGTCATCCATCTCTGTCCCAATTCAATGCGCCCAGGTAAATCAGCAAGAGGATAGCCCTACTAGCGGCACACACTACTCGACGGTAAAACCAAGAGTCGCTTTTTAGCTGGGGTCTCAATGTCATTTTCCGGACAAATATACCGGTGTTGTTTTGGAATTAAAGTGTGTTGTACACTAGAGTACATCATTGTAACGAACCTCCGGACATACAGTTCAGCTTTTAGTGTGACAATGATTAGGTTTCTGTTAAAAGAAGTTAGATGGCTTAAGTCAAGTACATTTCAACTACGCTCAGACCAGCTGACCCTGCCTTCAGAGAAATACTGGATGATTGCTTCCTCCTTCACAGATTTGTTTTGCAGTGTATGTTCCTTCGACCTGTCTGGATAGCAGAAAGGGTGGTGTGATTCTGAAACAAGAGTCTTAAAAATATCGACCACGACGATTTCCGGCGCCTTAGTTGTTTAGATATGTGCTTGCAGTGGCTACCACCTAGAGATGGTCAGAGAGATTTTTCAACCCCTTCCAACATCGACTCACCATCATGGTCATGAATACAAATACTGTGATCGTATCTGGTGACAGTAATATCATGGCGCAATGTTTTTCGGAGTTCGAATTAGAGTCCGCATTAGAGATACTCCGTTACCAGTGTCCTCCCCACACGATCACTATGCGCACACCGCAATCCATAGCTTAGTTGTATGGCTTTCCATCACGGATACCCGCATTGTTATATATGGCGTGCACTGAAAGCTAAGTCGCAATGGACCGAAGATTTCATTCCATTGTTTATAGCTCAGGCAAGAATGACAGTTAATTTAGATCATGGGTGTTGTTTCTACTTCCGCTTTAGCGTGCATCTGTGTGAGATCCATGATTCCAGCGTAGGCGCAGCACCGAACCGTCAAGTTGACGTAGCACTGCTTGAACTCATAATCCAGGATCCAACGCCATAAAGACTAGCTTACACGTCAGTTGGCATTATTGTAGCCGCGGTTGATGGGGCGTAGAGCTGCCAGACCAGGAGTTTCCCAGCACCGGACAGTGCATTGACTAAAGTTCAAGTCACACGACAAAGGCAAGACAACCGACAAGATAAACTAGAAGAACGTATCGGACAGGCTGCGTCACATGTTCGACGATCTCATACACGGATTGCACAACCAGATCAACTGCAAGTAAGCAATGTGGTGGTTCAAGGCGGCCTGACATGGAGCTAGAGCGGATCCACTTGCGTTTGCAATTAACATCCGGGGCTTGTTGGCTCATGCCCTGTCTGAGGTGGACGAAGCGCCAAGACAGTAACTAATGATGGCTCAGATCAGGAGCCGATCGCGGAATGTGTCCTGCTTAACAGCGCCGCCCGCAGAATGCACCTGAAGGAGCTAGTACACGTGACTCTGTTGTGGACGACAGGCAACTTGCTGCGTTGGGAGAGGACCCCGTGAATGCGTGGAGCAGTCAAGCAGGTCGAAGGCCTCAGAAGAGTCGAGATAGGTGACATCAGTGGTGGACCCATAATCCGCTGTTTCGGTCCAACTGCCACGCTCCATCAATAGATTGGTAATACATGACCAATACTGACGGAATCCGTGTTGCTCCAGCGCTGTGACGTTAGATCTTTCTAAACGACCCATTAGGGTCTCAGCTACCTTTGACAGCACCGGGAGAATTACTGGGCGATATTTCGCGGCCTCTGAACGGCTATCGCACTTGAAAATCGCGGTAATGATATACAACTTCCACACACTAGAAACCAGCTGTTAATTCAGGCTCCTATGGAAAAAGCAGATTAATCGTTCAGCTATCCTTGTAGCTTCCACCTGCAAAGCTTTCGCGGGTATGTTGTCAACTATGCAGAAACAATGGTAGCTTTCTCAAGATGGTAGGTGAACTATGGGGGTGACAGCTGGATGAGAAAGCTAATTACCAACGCTCGCGTGTTTGCCACAAATCGTGCTTGGGAAAGACCCTGCAAGCGTGTTGCCAAGGCCTGACCGAAAGCTGATGAAATCGCGCGTCAGACATCACGTGCGTTGCCATGCCCCGGGTAGACGGACGAAGACTGGAGTGCCTGAGCAAGACGGTGAACTGGTCAGACGGAGCGGACAAGCATGTGTGTGGGCTTACAGCCAAATCCGCCTGGTGATGTTTGGAGGGTTGGTGAAACCGACATATAAATATGAACGTTCTCTGTCCTAATACAACTCTAGTCTGCTGAGTCTTCTTCTGTCTTCCTTCCGGTCGGGTTTGCCAAAGCGTCAAACAGAGCACTCGTAAGGGCGCACATTTAGTAGCAGGCGTGAAGCAAGCGGTCGATTGCGGGTGCAGCGTTATAACAGTGGTGACGCGAGTACAACCGAACCTAGAAATGGCAATCAGCTTTGAACAATTGCAGATGCTGTTGCAGCAACAACAGGTGCAGTTTGAAGCATCCCAGGCCAAGCTGATCGAGATGCTAACTCAGAAGATGACAGTACAGTCAAGCCCCGGGTTAGGGACAAGTGAAAGTGCTCCCGCACCAGAAACCCTGACTCAGCAGATCAGTGAGTTCCATTATGACGCTGATGCCGGTATAACCTTTGTTTCTTGGTTCCACAAGTATGAAGAGATTTTCCGGGTTGCTTTTGCCAACCTTCCAGCGGAAAAGGAGATCCGACTAATGCTGCGGAAGCTGGGTGCTGCCGAACACGAGAAGTTCACTAATTCTATCTTACCTAAAATGAGTACCGATTTGTCCTTGACGAAATGATTGCAGTCCTGTCGTAGATTTTCGGAGAGCAGACATCTTTGTTCAACACCAAGCACAAGTGTTTGACAATAGGGAAAAAGAAGACGAAGACTAGGTCGACCATTCCAGCCGTGTGAATTGCGAGTGCGAACGGTCACTACACAAGATGACAAGGGATCAGTTTAAATGCCTCATATATGTTTGTGGCCTACAAGCACCCGAAGACGCCGAAATTCGAACAAGAATACTGAACAAAATTGAACAGAATCCGGATGTCGCATTGCAGCAAGTGACCGGTGAGTGCCAAAGCATGACGAATCTGAAGCACGATACCGCAATGATTCAGCAGTTGTCCAACCAGAACGATCAAGATTTTGTCCGTGCAATCAGCCGTACCCCCCGAAAAGAAGCTTCCCACTTGTGTTCACCGCATTCTAAATCTCCCACTGCGTGTTGGTTTTGTAGAGAGTGGCAGTTTGCTCGTGAGTGCACATTCAAACTCACATTTGCAACCGTTACGGCAGAAAAGGGCATAAGGAATCACGCTGCCTGGCGACCCGTCCAGTTTCGACCAAAAAGATGCGTAACAATGCCAGACCATTCCGGCGTCCCAATTTGACCAGATCTATCATCGCAACATTCAAGGTTGACGGGGCCAGCAAGCGCAAATACACAATTGTGAAAGTCAACGGCTTCCAAGATAAGTTGCAAATCGACACGGCTTCAGATATCACCCTGATATCTCGCGACACTTGGTGCATGCTGTGGCGACCGACACTCATACAAACGGACCACACGGCACGGAATGCTTCGGGAGGTACGTTGAAACTGCTTGGTGAACTGAATTGTCAGGTAAACTTCCGCGATAAACAAATCCAGACGACATGTTTCTTGACAGATCAGCCGGGGTTAGCTTTGTTGGGGCTCGACTGGATGGATGAACTGAAACTGCTTGACCAATCAGTGAACAGAATATGTCAGCCACCGCAAGTCGATCTGTTGTCGCAGCAGTCACCTTCAAGCCCGATGTTTGGAGGTCAAATTACTGAGCTAAAACGACGTCACGATGCATTGTTACAACCTGGTCTCGGATGCTGCAACATAGCTACTGCCGCGTTAAACCTTAAACCAGACGCCAAGCTAGTCTTTAGACCAAGACGCCCGGTGCCCTACGCTACCCAATCCTTAGTGGAAGCCGAGTTAAACCGACTACAATCTGAAGGGACAATAGAACGAGTTCATTATTTAGAATGGGCAGCACCTATCGTGGTGGTAAAGGAAGGAAAAGGGTTTGAATTCTGTGTTGGAAGATCATCAGTATCCCCTGCCGGTACCAGAAGAGTTGTTCAGCAAACTCAATGGGGGAATGTTTCGCAAAACTTGACCTAGCTGATGCGTATCTGCAAATCCTAGTTGCCCATCAGTGCAGAACATTGCTGACAGTAAATACCCACCTCGAACTATTTCAGTACAACCGGTGTGGGGGCGGTGCTGGGGTAGTTAAATTGAAAAACAAAGTGCTCTGTCCAGCGCCCCAAGCTCCTGTGTAACTTGGTGATCTTTGTTCTGTCTCTCACAAATTGTTTGCCTGACATCATGTGATTTGCGACCAGTGGCGCGAATAAGGTAAAAATAAACGGCGGAAGTTTCCAGCCGATGCAGCGCCTTCCATCTCTCCAGCTCGTTTTGACCATTAGGATTCACGGTCAAAGCGAAGGCTTGATTTAAGCTGTTGAGAGATGGACAGACGGAGTTCATTGATTTCCACAGCTGCGGGCACAGCCCGTCGACGATCTAGTAGCTTCAAGGACCTTACCCAACTCCAGCTTTTGGTTGTAGAGTGGTTGACGCCACAGGTGGATTATCCGGCGGACAGCATGGCTCTTTGGAAATTTGACCAGTGTTGATCGACATCCAGAGTAAGCGAGAGAGCGGGAACTTCACGGAGCCTCTGTTGATGCTGCGTTTTCACCGTCGGGTCCTCCAAATTGCAGGTGTTCAATCGGGTTTACTTGGGCTTAGTTAAGCCACCGAGACACATGCAAACTGTTGCGAGCATCAATTCATGATCAATCTCAATGCACAAGATTGGCCCTAGACAGGCCTCGACCAAACCGCTGACCAACTGGTCTCGGAAGTGGTCATTATGCCGCGTCACGTGAACGTTGGCAGATTCAAACTCAGAAGCTAGTTGTGACTACCTTCTGTCCCGTCAACCTTTTGTGGTGAACCACGAACAACTGCATAGCGCTTTGCTAGCTTCTATAACGTGTGGGTGTGCTTAAAGAACAGATCGCAATGGGACACGCAAACTGTTAATTTATCTGAACACAGAGAATCCCATTTCCCATACTTTAAGCTGATTGCTCGCAACTTGGGCTACTTTCCATGTTAAGCAGAAAGAAGGTCAGTCACACCCTGTCCGGGCTGCAGCGGCACAATGGATTCTATTGGACTGGTTAGTTCGAAGAAAATTGCGTATGTTTAGAATCCTGTTAACGATAAACCTTTGTCAGTAGTAAGCAATCCCGTTTTGTTACAAAATGCATTTGCTTTCTGCACTCATACCGGTCTAAGAGCTGATAGAATCGCAAGCCCATGAAATAAGTCTAGGCAACAATTTTCATATAATCTGCGAAGTTGCTAGTGGCTACAGGCGTGAAGATTAACCTGACCTTAGTTGAGTTGTGTGAATACCAGGATGGGCACACCACCTAACGCACCAGGACCATAACTATAGACTGTCCAAATGCAGGCACAGATTTACCTAGTTGGCTTTGAAACTATGGTTGATATCCGACTGAAGAGAATGTAAAATTAATTTTCAAAGCTGCCGCAAAATGCCAATATTTTGTGGTCATGGGCAAGCGTGAGATAGATGGTAGCTAACTAACTTGAAATCGCACAAGCTCAAGTTCAAAGATCAAGTTTTGTTCGAGCATCGGCAGATCGTCTTGGTGGCTGCAACGAATGAGATATTGATAGAACAACACAATTTGGAAAGTCAAGGGCATGAGGCTGCAGGACCGAAGAGCCGCTTCCAACGTGTTTTTATCTTCTTCGGTTGGACGCACACGAGAGACGAAATGCTGCAATTGAAGCGAGGAATAATGTGTTCACAGGGAACTTACGGACGGCTGGGTGCTTGGAGGAAAATTTCACTCTTTTATCATAACAAACGTGCTACATTAATAAGCGATAAAGATACTACTGTGCACTGGAGGGTACCCAGCAATATCTCCGGGCTCATATCAACAAGACAAAACAGACAAAACACGTCCCGTATATTATGAAAGGACGTTTCTAGAGTCGTTCGGAGAGTCAAAATGAGTAACATCGTAGTAATTGTGAGTACGTACTCATGAGTCGAAGCTACACAACGTTTCAGTCTAGCCAGAAGGTAGATTTTGGAAAGAACCTTAGCAATGACCCCCGGATCGTCTCGTCGAGTATGCGCTGCAACAATTAATTTGAAGCGATGCTTGCATTGGTGTACTGCATGCACTATTACGGAAGTTTTCCGCAATGGAACAACGGTCTAGTAACCGCAAACGAGAGGGGTCTTTACATGCCCTGTTAAGCGTTACGAAAGGAGCCTACGAAATATCGGCATCGGCTTTCAGGAGCAAAATACATCGCGGTGTTTTTAAGTATCATGCGCGGCAGTCACGAAATTTGTATATCTTGTCAACCTAGATACGGTCAGTGACAAAGACAAGAAAGTAAGATCCTGGAAATAGGTCGCTTTGCGATGTTATGTTAACATACCAACGCAGCCAGGCCATTTCATTTTGGAGGCATATTCTGGGAACGGCCAGTGTCGTGGCAGAGAACACTGTTGCTGGTTGAGTGTTCTGAAAGACATAACTTTCTGTTGCTGTACAAGATGTTCTGTATGTTTTCCTTACTTTGTTTTTCATGTGCTGATCCAAAGAACTAGGGGCCCGAATGGCAGATGGAGGTGTCAATAGTAGGTTTTACAGTGTCTTAGCGACCACAGTCGATCACAGCAAATAGAGTAGTGGAACACACGATCATCGTCAGAAAATCATACTTACGGCTTGGTCACGTGCAGAAATGTGTTCCGCGTGTGAAGCCAACAGTGCGGTCAGTGCATCCTCCGACATTTTCAACAGACCCTCGGGAGATATTTTAAGCAGCCCGGATAAAATCTGCACGGTGAAGTGGAGAAGGTACCTCAAAGTAGAATGGAGAAGAAAAGGCTTCGTCGCGAACAGTGCGGTATTCTGTTATCTTCGACTTTTCAGAATACTGTGACTTTCAAGTTTCGAAGGCTATGAAGACCATCGGATACATGTGCCATCTATCTGACAGAATATCGTATCTCGATTCACTAAGCATATATTACCATGTATGGAAAACTGAGCATTGTTCCATTAGACACTGTGGAATCTGATCAGCGCGCATTTGTTGACGTCCAGCGAAATTGCACGAAAATGCTATGCGGTAATTCCTCAAATATGTCTCAGAGAGTGCTGTGATAAACTTGGAAGTGATCCGATCTGACTTCCTAGAAGGAACCTGAACCTGTGTTTTGTTTACAGAAACAAAAACCATCGTGTGCACAGTTCAGATAACGATCTTCAGACATTTTCTGACACTAGATAAAGGGTACTCAACAAGGAAACAAAGGTCACGTTTCTACTACGAGATGCAGGGAACGTTTCTTTCTAATACACTACTCAGGTTCGGAAAAAACTTCCAAGAGCTACCAGAACATGTTGCACACTGCGTTAATTTAAGCTTGCGATTGATGAACAGATAACCGTACGAAAGACAATTAATGTGTTTGGGACATCACAGTTCCTGGGTATGATTGTTGAAAACGGTGTCGATGGTGACTGACTACATTACGAACAACACATGTCTCAGGGTTAAGTGAACACCTGCACAAATTTTTGGCGCGCAGGTTGAAAGATCAGCAAACAATTTGGATTACTTTGTGTTACATAAACACAAAATGTGTGCTCATAGTATCTGGATGAATTATGCTATGACATGAAGTAGTTGTAAACATTTTGAGCTTATCGCATTGTCAAGGAATATACAATTTATGTTTTATTTATGTTCTACTGGCAAACAGATCTATTCGTTGATTGTTGCATATATATATATATATAATGGCAAGCGGTGTTATCCTATACTATTATTGCATCTTACGATTGTATTATTTCGTAATGCGTTAGGCCGTCCCGATTTGAGTTTCTCAGGGAGCTGATGGGTTACTACGCTGGTCGTTCTTCGCGTGCTGCACCAAACTAACACACATGAGTCAGACAGCTAATGCACTGGCTCATTCTATCTAAGGCGGGTTGCGATTGAATGCAATTGAGTAATTTACCTCAGAGTAATCTAAGAATAACCGCCAACGGTGATCTTGAAGTAAGGCATATAAAAAGTTCTTTCAATTCAGTGGACGAGGGACGAACATAAAAAGCGGGGCACACCGAAAATCATCTTTGGAACCTATCATGAACAGCTGTGCATACCACCCTGCGCCGAACTGTAAACGACCCTATCGGCAGCTCACCGTGGAAGTGAAAATCAAATAGACCACAGATTTGGCTCTGATGAGTAAGTGGGTGTTCGCGTACGCAGACATGTGAAGAATGTACGGCAACAGTTTCCTCAAATTTAGACCTAACATTTATGGCACCTCAATTTGCTAACTACTCTGTACCAGCGACCATACATTTTCAGCCTCTGTAATGACTGTAAGTGCATCCAAGTGTGAACACTACTGAAGAGAAACGTATACACTGAACCGGAAAACGGTTTACGTTTCGCAAAACAAAGGCAGCATTTCTGGCACATAATATGCTGACAAAGAATCTGAATCAGAAAGCTAGGTATCATTAACTCTCTAATGTTTACAGATCAGTAAATGACGTGTACCGGACAAGATTTTACATGCACTGGCGTCTCCACTTATTACAATGGTCCGAGTTTGATCTCGACTTTGAATAATCAGTTTGCTTAAGATTGCTCACATTGATTATTTGCATGCGCCGTTCGTTCCAAATAACAATCGCCTTGCCTGTGTCAACATTCCACTGCTCACACTAGACCCAATGAAGCATGGGAGACCCATCGGACTCTCATAGCTAGCATCAACCTGTGAAATGTCTCAGACGCATAGAGATACTTGCTTTGACCGTGCTCCGTTGGTTCCTTCTATGGTACGTATATATATATATATATATATATATATATATATATATATATATACGTAAGCGTTGCTAAGTAACCATCATTACCTTATGTTATGGGTAAGTGTCTTGATGTCTTAAATTTATGGGAACAGACGCTGATCAGAGGACTCCAGTTCTCGTGAATAGGTTGCGGAAAAGTATGCTTGTGGTACTGATTGAGAAGAACGGTTGCTTGCTAGGGCGCCGATATTCAAGCGCGTCAAGCTCGCTGTGACCATTTCATACACACCCACTTGATGCAGTTTGTTTTAAGCCTCATATAAAGTTTAAGGACAAACGGTGTTGCTTGTTTTCTAGTCTCGTGCATAGTTGCGATCATCTTAAACTGAGTTGCGTTGCCAATGCAAGACCGCCTCGCTTTACGCAACAGTCCGTTACAGGACAGCCAAAGCATACCTCGTGTATCCCTGAAGCGCACATCATTGGAGACTGCTAGGAGCCCAATGCGATGGCCCTATGGGTGGATTAAGGTGTTACAACCAGACTAACAATCTATGGGTCATCACGTATCAGATCTTAAAATTCCCGGTCAGTCGGCAGAGACACTTCTCAGCTTTACGTTACTTTCATGGGTTGCCGATAGGATTCCAGCATGAACGTGCTTGCAGTGATCTACGAAAACGGTGTGTTTTTCAATGCCAGTATAGTTGTAACGGTGCCCATTGCTGAGGCTGATGTTGCATTCATGATGCTTCTTCACCGCAGTTGGGCTAAACCAACTTACACTTAGACTAGGTCTTTTTAATGTCGATAAAATTCATTACATGTTATTTGGTTTGTTCTGCGTACTAGATAAGCTTCTCCTTACTTGCACACGTCGCTCACGCAAATTGTGGTAAACTTGCGTAATTTTATCGCGTGGTATTTTTTTAAATAACTTTCGGACATTTTGTACTTATCACGGATTCACTTATAACCAGTTTCTTCTATATGCTCATTTCGCGAGTATTTATGTCGTCACATGCGTTTACTTTAATCGATATCGGCATTTCGAATGATTGGCTGTTGTTTGACATCCCAGGTGTGGCTGCGCTTGATGTGTATGTTGACAAGGTGCCTACCTGTCCATTACCCACTACCTCGTCCATACTGGCTCCAAGAAACAGTTGGTCGTTGCTGGAGGGGGCGGGGTGCACGGTCTTTGTGGTCGTGCTAGTCTCGAAGAGTGGTTCCATGCAGTCAGTGTGGAGCGGACTACGATCCGGCCACCGCCTTGTGTGCACTTGGTTCCCCAAATACAGCGTGCTTGTGTTTGCCTGTGAAGGAGTGTGGGCCGGCTCCGTTGATGAAACGTGGCTCCCATCCACATGCCTCCCGGTCTTATTCCTTCGGGTTTACACTGGATATGGGGTGTGTGGTTGGAGCTGTGGGTGGTGCAGCGCAGTCCGCCCATGCTCCCTCTGTAGGTGCCGGCGTCCTGTGGCTGGCCACAGTGACAGGCAAATCCGAAACCGGATTCCGCCAACCATAGTTGTAACGGCGCTCGTGATACCAATGGCTGCGAAACATTTGTCAGCGCAAGTGAACTGAACCCCAATCTGATCCAACAAGATTGACGCCAACTAGCCGGATAGGCTTCCGATCACTGTTTCAATCGTTCGAGACTGTTTGGCTTTGATAGGGCCTACAGATCTACGAAGCAAACGCAACACTGTTGTATTTTTTGTGGTGCGGATATCTCATGCCACTAACCAACTTTGGAGAATGGCAGTCGGATTGGTCAATGGACCGACAATGGTGGTGGTGGTGCGGTGCTTAACACCTACCACGTTGTGCACATCTGCCTTACCTTGCAGAAAATTAACTGTGGAGCGTTTTCTTGCTCTGTGAGCTGTTCAGGTGAGTTCCCAGTTGCTGAAATAGCCTTAATCAAACAATAACTATGGAATGGACGTGCTTGTCTCTCGGTGTCACGATACTGGAAATTATTCTACCATATTGGGTTCTGAATGCATATGCACTCTGCGAAGAAAGCAATAGCATCTCCATTGTATGATATTAATCAGTGGAATAGTGTTCGTGTGAGGCGAAAAACCCATGGCTGTACCTTAGGATCACTTTTGTGTAGAGGGTGAATGTATCCCGTGAAAAAGTTTGGAGCCAGCAAATGGATTGTAACCCAGAGGCACAAAACAGATGTGAGCGATTTGCACCTGTCGGGGTGGCCATGAACTCAAATTATGTGACTCTGAGAGCCGAAGAAATGCGCCAATTCAAGTAAATAGGACGGACACTTATTCACCTGATCTACAAACCACGGGCCGAGCTACTGAAGGGCATGGTAAGGTCATTCCTAGAGGAGTTTGCATCCCTAGATCGTTGCTTTTCATGTAGAAACTAGCTGAGCAGATACCATGAGGATCCAGTTTTGCAGAGGGCCATACCAGTAGCCATTCCGATAACTTGTGTTAATCTGAGGCATTGGTTGGGTTAAGCATAGCTGATAACATCACTATCCCCCACACACACATATCATGTCACGGACAGTTCCAGCGGGTGTGATTCATACAGTCACTGTCACTGAAGACTTCAGCCTTCGTGTCTGCTTCAGAAATGGGTTTTATTTGCATTAGGAGGTTGACAGACATTAATGAAGCGTCCAGTAAGTTGTCTAACCTGCAAGTATTGCTGGAACACTGGATCCAATATAGTGCATTGTTGATCCCATGCCCATTGCAAGGTGGCCGAAGTAGGCCTCGGTTTTTCACTTTCCAGTTTTTCAATAAGTAATTCAGGTATTTCTAGAGAATCGGGGTTTCGGAGGTTAAGATACTTTCTGAAAAATAATAAAGCACAAAAGAAATCTGGATTAATTCAATTATTTATCAAGCGATTAGCAGACCAGAGCAAAACTATCGGCTTTCAAGATTTGCTGACAGATCATCTGTGCAACTTTGGTTAAATATGCACAACTGAGGCGGACTTTCACAAACTGTGCCTTGAATCTGTTTAACCGGAATTGGTTATGCACATCGGTCAGCGTTTGTGGCACAATAACTGTGGTGTTTGCCATCTGTAGCTAACGTGTAGAATGATATAGTGATCGTTTAGCGTCAGGAAGCAGTGTTCACTACCCACAACTAGTCTGACCATCTCTGATGTACGAAGAGGTGAAATTTACACAAACTTCGACTACATGAATGACAAAATTCTATGGTGGTAGGTCGACGGTGTCGATCAGCCTCCAATCGGTACACACCCGAAGAAATGCTGCCACAATGGTTTGGAGCCAGAGTAAACTAAGTGTTCCGTAATTAGGCAAGCATAAAAACAGTATCCAATTTACTGCACAGAAAGGCAAATTGCATGATAACAGCCGTCTGCAATATTAGTATGTGGCATTCCAAGAGTCCATCGCGCAAAAAATCAAGTCGTAATATCAAATGGAAACAAATCAGCTTTCGCTGTGAAAGCGCAAAACGCCCTATTTGCCATGAAAAATATTTCCTGTTAGTTGAAGGAATATCTATCCGCGATATAGTTCAATGAGCGTATAATCAGGATGATACAAGTTGGTGCGTGAGAACAAAACATTGTAGTCTACAGTGTTTCTTTGCAGCTGACACATTTCGCATTGGATAGCTGCTCCAAGTGAAAGATATGTATGCACGTGATTGCACACAAGCTAATAAACTTGTATACTGCATTCCGATGGCCAACACTTGGAAGTATTTAAATGAGGCAGAAATTAAGCCCTTGCACATGAAACCCGAGAAAGCGTCTATAAAAATGCTGGATGCTAAGCAATTGGAAGAAAAATTGGTGCTCTAAGTGGCTAGTTACAGTCAACACACGCCGTGTTTGCACACCAGAGACGTTAGAAAAACGTTTCCTTATCGGGACCGTGGCCCGAAGATTCGTGGAACGTTACCCTATTAGCATTGAGGTCAGTGATCAACGAACATATTGCACTAAAATCGATTTCAAACCTATACGCTATGATAGGCGTAAGGAATAATTCTGTTAGATTTTATGTGTACTCACTCATAAATAACCTCGGACATTTTGCAACGCAGTTTATCCTGACCCGGTGTCGTTAGCTTCGTTCGCATCGACAAGAAGCTTTTCACTTCCAAGACGAACGACAAACGACGCAGAGAAGCTAGGAAATTTTGCTTTTGCTGTTGTTCAGTTTGGTCGCGCGCTTCATGTCGCAGCCAGATTCGGAAATTTTCCATCAATCTATCACAACAGAGAGAAGCAACACTAGCTGTACGCTTTAGACGGTAAGAGGATACGGCAAACTATAGTAATAAATGACAAACAGAAGCATGGAGTACCTATAAGCGTGGCATCACTGTGATTTCCTAGATGAGGATAAAGGATCCGTAATAAAACTGTAGGCGCACCTCATTTAATTGCCCATGAAGTGGGACTAGGATAATCGTCGAACTCATATAGTGATAACACAAGCGTAGCTGGAGTTCGCGACCACCCACTGCGATAATTCCAGTGGCCAAATTCTGACTCCTATATGGCTTACAAATCACATTGTCAACATGCGGAAAATCGATGAAACCTGGCTGACTATCAGGGGAAAAGAAACAAACAAAACAATTATGATTACCTTGTGTTACTTAAACCTGAGATATATGCCCAAATTTATTTCTAAAATAGGTTGGTGCAACCGAATGAAAAGGATGTAGCAATTTTTGATCTGACCCTTCTAGGGAGCAGCTTATCGCACCGTAGAGGAACATAAAATTTATTCATTTTTTGTTTAACTCAAGCAAGCACTCATTCAGGTTGAATCACGAATTGATGGCACTAGGCGGTGTCATCGAGCGAACTCGAAAACAGAACCTCACACCTGGCTTCTGAATGGACAAGGTGAGCCGATATGCAATATGGTGCAACACGCTAACCCATCAACAAGGATCAGAGGCGGGTTGGACCGGACTCAACACTTTTGTTTTCAAAGAATTACGGATACACACGTTTTCGATGCTACTTTTGGGAACCCATTGTGTTACTCGCTTACTGCTTTTTCCACACTTAGTACCATGATAATCATTATCCGTGGTTCTATAAAGTCATTGTCTTTCCGCGCAAACGGAGGACGCCTACGATGCATCACAGATAAAGTAACAAAGATACACAAAACAGAAGAAATCTGCCAGGAGTATCGCTCCGGGTGGAGGGTTGCTCGCTAAACAGAGTTCAGACAATAATGGGCACACCCACTTTTCTTCTCGTTAATGCCCGTTCATATCAGGGAAAAATCGTAGGATCTTAAAAGCAGAGTCAAATATGGTGGATACACACAACTAGAAATCATTGTGTTTCAGGAGAACTGCTCCATAAACATGTCGGAGACGCTGTTGTAGCAACAGGCAATTTCATTTGTTTACGTACCCAAAGTACTAACACGTACCGGAACAGTGGTGTTGGTGTCATCACCTTTATTACCGCTTCACTGTGACTATCGGTGAAAAGATTGTTCTGCTACTCGTCACAGCATATCGACTGCTTAGCTCTAAAATGTCAATAAATAAATGTACGTTCATATTTACTTCAAGCAGTATACTATAGTGAGGAAGCCAAGGGTCACAGATATGGAGGAACAAGAAGGCAACCAGTCATCACAACTCTGTTGGTAACTAAGAACCATCGATGTTAAGCGCTAAGGTAGTTTATTTGGATAACCTAGGTACACGTTGTTCAAGCTAAGGCTATGACGGCACCGATACACCAGGCTAGCTATGGGATCCCAATCGAATCGTCCGCGAAGCAGAGAAAAGCGAGTGCGCTTCGAAGTCGAGGGCGGCGTTAATATGTGCAGTGCTATTCAAACAATCTCAAGCAGACGAACACTGACAGACACATTGGATTCCATGAGTAAAACTGAAATCATTCGGAAACATTTTGCCGTCATATCTCAAGCCAACAGGAGAATCGTCGGGCCGCTGCAGTATAAATCCTAGTTAGGAGTGATCATTTGTACACATAAGTAGTGTTATAATTGCCAGCCACTAAAACAAATGAAAGTTTCAGATAAATTTTCCACCTCTGTTTTCAGAATTACTTCATAAGGAAATCTGGAGCACTCAATGCTGGCTTGCAATAATAATAAAGGAATAATAAGTTTACTGCAGACTTTTGCTATGCAGATGTTGTTCAGACCAGCTTCCACTAATGTTTATGGAAATCGCTGTGATCCAAGTGTCTTTAGCACATGCGGCATAGTGAAAAGTCTCTGGGAGACCTTCGGAATGTGGCACAGTTTGTACTGTCATGTATCTGTAGAGATAGTTTGTACCACCGATTGGCATATCTTAATAAGATCGATCGGAGTTTATAACTTGCACGCTATGAGGGCAACAAGGAGCCATCATCACGGATTAGACAGATTTATTCGATCGTCTCAGCCGAATGGAACACGGTTAAGTGGCAAAAGCGATCATAGTAAGGCAGCATCGAAGACGGTCCCATGAACAACTCAGAGAATACACGTTAGACATTTTCCAGAGCTATTCTGTCTAGCTTTCTTAAGTGGCTGTGAATTTTAGTCCAATACTCAAAATAAGTCTTAAAACAGCAGTCTAGAGATTTCCTCGGTTTGCCTGAGTTAGTTGTGCGAAAATCCACACACAGTTACTATTTCATTGTACACTTAGGCGATTGATGCGCAAGATTGGACTTCATGTTGTGTTTGGTTGTTTAAAATGAGCGCCGACTGCTTGGCGCATCAAGAAACAATGTCTTTAAACGGGTTGCGAAGCACTGCTTTACACCTCACATTTGGTGGTCGGAGAAAGTTAATACAATACAGTTGGTACTTTAGGTAGCGAAATATCGTACTTATCGTTTGTTATGCTGCCGGCTTGCACCCCGCATGGCTTCACTGTACCAACAATCGACAGCTAATAAATCCAAGGTAACTTCTAGGAGTAGAATGGATAGTGCTAA